GCGAGGCCAGGGGCAAGAGCGGGAAGGGCGGCCCCGAGCTGGTGGACAAAGGAGCCGACACTGACCAGGTGGTGGCGAACCTGGTGCTGAAGCTGAAGGAGCTGCTGAAGGAGCTTCCCTGGGAGAACATGGCCACGCTCCAGTACCTCCTGCAGCACCTGAGAAGGTGAGAAGGGCAGGTCCAGAGCCCGTGCGGGTGCTGGGGCACCTTCCCTTCCTTCCCCAGAGGGGGAAGGTCCGTGCAGCCTGTGGGGACAGCCCAGCCCTTCCCAGGAGTGGGGAGGTCGATCCGTGGCCGCAGTTCATTCTCTGCCGCTCTCGAAGCTCGTGTGTGCCACGAGAGGGGACTCCTCTGCTGCCAGCCCGGCGTCTCCTCCAGCCTGGATGCACCAGCTCGGGCGAGCCCTGCCCGTCCACCCGCCCCTTCTCCCTGCTTGCTCTCACGAGTTGTTGTTCCTCCTCCTCCTCCCCAGGATCGTGGAAGTGGAGCAGGACAACAAGATGACCTCAAGCAACCTGGGCATCGTCTTTGGGCCAACGCTGATGCGCCCCAGGCCCACGGACGCCACGATTTCCTTGTCCTCGCTGGTTGATTATCCCCACCAAGCTCGCATCATCGAGGCCCTCATCATCTTCTATTTGACCATCTTTGAGAACAAGGAGACCACGGTGCTGGCCGACTCCAGCAAATTCGCCACAGAGAGCAAGGAGGAGGCAGCCAGCTGCCCTGACCTGGTAGGAGTCTCTGGGGAAGGGGGCACCCTTAGGGGACACGGAGCCGAGCAGGGCAGCCTGCTCGTGCTTCCAACCTGGAGCAATGAGCTGGGGCAGAGCCTCCTGCTGCCCTAACGCCCCCCACCCCCTCCTGAGCCGTGCCCCGGCCTCGTGCTCCCCATCCCTGCTGTGCCACACGGTGGTACGGGTCCCGCCAGCGCTGCTGCCCTTCTCTTACAAAACTCATTTGCTTCGTCCCCACGTGCACCCCCGCTCCGCTTGCGAGCGATTTTCTGCCCCAAAAGAACAGTCTCAGGCGGTGAGACGGGCAGGGGTGGGAGGATGGGGCCTACGCGCTTTTACACCGGGGCACATTTCTCCATTTTCTGGACCCATTTCCCAGTGAAAGAGAAAGTTTTCTTCTCCTCTGTGCCCTCACCACCGCACTCTTCCTCCCAGGCCAGCGCAGGCTCCCTGCCCGCAGCTCCTCCCGGCAGCGTCCCCTACCTGGAGCTGCCTTCGGAGAAGGGGAATTCGGATTACAGCGCC